TAATGATTTTATTGTATTTGCTGTTTTATTCCAGTTCCAGTTGTGCTACATTTCTTAAAAATGCTATCTGTGTGATTCCTATATCTTCTTTTTAGTATACACATGATTGTGCTTATCTTTCTCCATATGAGAAACATTTTTGTTTCTTTTAAAATTGGCTTATGATTTTTTTGACATCCTAGTTCATGTTGCCATATTTTTTCAGTAACCTTTAGCCGAATAGATCCAGAAGGGAAGCTGGTCATGGGATTTCGAAAGGCAACAAATCTTTCTGCAGAACAGGTAAGAAAGTTTTGGACTTTGGGTTCTTCAATATATTTGTTGTACTGTACCTCTCATTAGTTCCAGCTGAAACAAACATGCTATTTGTATATTTGTCTCTAGAAGTCTTACTAGGCGACCATATCTGACATGCTCACTATTAGATGTTCTACTTCTGCTGCATACTATATTATTTCTCAAATTTTGAGATCTGCTTGACTCTAGGAGTTTTTATCTACTGATGAAATGAGATAATTATGGCAACACATGTTGGGCTTCAAGAACACAAAAAAATGATGTGTTTTTAAAACCAAATTTAGGTGTATCATATGTTAGGTATCACACAATTTAGAGTGTTTTGTTACTTACTCCTGGAGAGAGTGCTTATTTTTTAGCGTGTTATATCATGCTGGTTCTACACTAGCAAACTATTTGCAACGAATATGAGATCTGTCGAACTGGTAACTAGTTTGTTGAAGTCTTCCTTTGGTTCATTTGACAGGACCAACCTACAAAGCCTGCCAATGGTGTACTACCCCCTCCAGAAGCAAATAATAAAGTTGTTGTCCCAGATTCTAGTCCTAATGCTGCTGTACCTCGACCAATTAAAGTCAACACAGAGAGCAAAAGTTCCAGCCCTGTGGAACAAGCCACTGCCTGTAAAATTGACAAAGGTGCATTACCACAAAAGGAAGGGCCAGGAACTTCAAGTTCCTCCCCACTACCTGTCAAGAGAAAGGCAACTTCTGTTGGTCCGAAGATCAAACGGTTCCACATGGACAGTGAGGAATCCATGGAATTGAAGATAACATGGGAGGAAGCTCAAGAATTACTTCGTCCTCCTCCTAAGGCCCCTTCAATTGTTGTTGTTGATGGCCATGAGTTTGAGGAATATGAGGTATGCTGTGCATTTTATTATTTCTTTTAGCATTCAGATCTTGGCTAGTGGGCACAGGCCTGCAAACTTGAGCCCTATTCAGCTGTTCAATGTTATGGGACAATTACTATCTGAGACATAGTTTGGAGCATGCTTAAGCTTATTTGCATTCGTGACTTGCTTTACTGTGTTCTTGGTATAGAAGATTAAACACATATCTTCTATATTGACGTCCTATAATTTTCAGGAGCCACCAATACTTGGGAGGAGGACATATTTTGTGACAGACCAATCAGGGTAATGCTCTTAGCTTTGCTATCTGCATTTGTTATATATGTGGAAAAGGACCCAGACAGACCATTCCAGTTCTTTCTTTTTAGTAACATTTATCTCAACACTTTTTCTCATAATGCTTAACTTATCTAGCTACCTTAATTTTTTATGTGTTTTTTTTCAATGTTTTGGAAACTTTTAATTGTTGAAACCATTAATGGTCTATCTGAATAGAATTATCCTATTGGTGCATGATGAGACGACAATATAAATTCTCTTGACTTCCATTTGTAGGACTCCCAACAGTTTACTTTTTGGAAAGTACAGTAGCATCTTTTTTACTTGCTTACAAATGATCATCATTTTTTACCAGTGAGAATCATCAATGGGCTCAATGTGAGGATTGCTCTAAGTGGCGTAAACTGCCGGTGGACGCCCTTTTGCCCTCTAAGTGGACCTGCTCTGACAATAAATGGGATTCTGAAAGGTGACCTGCTATTTTAGAACCATTCAGCCTTTTGTATGCTGTATTTATGATTAGCTACAATAGAAAAACGTATTTACAAATGTTCTAGGTAGGGATGCAAGTGGGCTGACCCGTGAACCCACATATAGGTCAAATAAGTGGGTAACCCGTAGGTTCCCGTGTCATGGCCCAGCTTGCCACACCTAGGGCTGCAAGTGGGTTGACCAGTGAACCCACTGGGTTACCCACTAATTTGGCCTATAATAGGGTTCGCGGGTTGGTCCACTTGCATCCTAAGTTCAAGGATAGCTCTTAGGGTTATGCTTATGGTTCTTTTTTGTTACCGAATTTCAATTCTATTAACCCTATTTCCACCCATCAGTTCTTTATAAATATTGCAATCACGAAGTTTGAGCTGTCTGTTTCTTAAATCTACGGTGGAATTTAGCATGTTTGAACACAAGAATAGCTTTTTTTTTTCTTTCTGTTCACGTGTGGTTGGTAGGATGGTGGGATAGTCTCAATTTACTTTACACACGTAGCTAATAACCACCACTACTTATCACTAGGTCTTCCTGTGATTCTGCCCAAGAGATAAATATGGAGGAGCTTGGCGAAATGATTCCTATCAAACCTGGTATGTATATGTTCTAGTGATTTATCTATGCTGATGTAGAAGCTCCATTTCTGCTAGTAGTTCTTTTTAAATAGCATGCCAAATATGAATTCCAAAAGGATAATAAATTGGAGAGGTTCACTACGAACAATTGGCTGTATAGAACTATGTGCTACTGTGCTACATGCCAGAGCCTACAAAAGTACATCCTGAGGCATGTAAGGCTGGTTGATATCTATCACTACTGATGGCTGGATGTCACAATGAAGCATCATAGTATTAGTACATGTTATAGTTGGCAATGGGCCGAACTACAAAAACGACTTGCCATGATCCAGCCTGAGGCATGTAAGGCTGGTTGATATCTATCACTACTGATGGCTGGATTCACAATGAAGCATTGGCAATGGGCCGAACTACAAAAACGACTTGCCATGATCCAGCCTGAGGCATGTAAGGCTGGTTGATATCTATCACTACTGATGGCTGGATTCACAATGAAGCATCATAGTATTAGTACATGATATAGTTGGCAATGGGCCGAACTACAAAAACGACTTGCCATGATCCACTGTGTTGAGAATGCCATCTTGAACCAACACATCCCCAATGTTACTTTGGGGCTACATATTTCTATCTGTGGTACCAGTATGAAAGTAGTCAATGTTTGCATAATGCCACTATATTTTCTTTGCTGTGTGGTAGGCTATAACTGCACTAAATGATCTACTATAATTACTGTTCTAGCATTTACTTAAAATTCATGTTGTTGCATTTCAGGTGCTGCAAAAAAGACCAAAGGGAAGGTAGATACTGACAATATTGATGTTTCAGATGGGCTGGACACACTCGCAAATCTTGCAATTCTTGGTGAAGGTGAATCTCTCCCTTCCCAGCCAACCACAAGGCATCCCCGCCATCGCCCTGGCTGCTCATGCATAGTCTGCATACAACCACCCAGCGGAAAGGGACCAAAGCACAAACAGACGTGCACTTGCAACGTCTGTATGACAGTGCGACGCCGTTTCAGGACGCTTATGATGCGGCGCGAGAAGCGCCAGCAGTCAGAGAAGGACTCTGGGGTGCCTCGCAAAAGAGAGCCAGGTCAATCCAGCGAGCCAGTTCCACAATCTGGCTCTGGTGCTCATCCAACCAGTACTAGCTCTCCTCACCAGAGAGCAGATACCAACGGCGAAGGTCCTGAAGACATGTCCATTGACAACAAGAGGACCTCCTCTCCTGTCAAGAACCAGATTGACCTGAACAGTCAGCCTGAGCGGGAAGACGAGCAGTCACCGAAATCCGATGCGACGAGACTCCTCAGGGACAACCCAACCTAGGGCTGCCTGCCCAAAAGGGAAGTCATACTGGCGATGGTAGATAACCGATGAAAAAGATAATGTCTATACCAATGGAGAAATGCGGCGGGCGGATTTGTAGTGTAGCTCTGTAGATGTTACCTTTCTATACCAAAGATCTAGTTTATCCTGTGGCGGGAGAGATCCAGTTTTAATGTTATCATACCATAGAACCAGGCGTCGGTGTTGTAGTAGAACCCGTTGCTGTTTGCCTAGGGCCCGTTGCTTTACCCTGTATGTAGTGATGTAGCGTGAGAGCGGCGCCCTTCGGCAGCATGTACCTCTGGGCAAATTTATTTCATGTACCGGATCATCCATCCCTGTGCAAGGAGAGGATTTACTATGTTGCTTACCGGGGTGGTTTCCCTTTGGCATTATAGCATGCATTCATATCTATAGTGTGATCTGACGTGATAATGTTTACCATCAAAGTTTACCCGTACTCAAATCACGGAATTCTGACGTGATATGTATAGTGTCGGTGTATTCCGTTCATATGATATCATCTCATCCTCTCTTTCCTCCACGCTCTAGACTGAGGATTGCTTCTCTTAGCTGCAGTCTTACAGAATCATCGGCTTTTGTTGGATACATCAATTTATTGCATTTTATGTTGGAATCTATTTTTTAAAACTTATTCATCGGATTATTGAAAAAATTGTTTACTACATACTTCGAATAAAGATCTCAAAATACTTTACTCTCTGCATGTTACACCAGTTTGTTTGAGATGTTTGTTAGGTTTATTTTTAAAATTTATTCCTATAGTCAAATCGTCAATAATCAAAATGAAACCGGGCCTCTAAACATACGCTCGGTTCTTTGTTACAGTTGTGGCTAACCGTACCTTTTATCAATACCACCACATATGACATGCTAAAAGCTCATATTCTTAACTAATTTTGTCAAAGTTGTGGTTAACATTTTGATACCGACGCTTCTCGTGATATGTACAACCACCTTGTGTAAGCTACTAGTAAACAACCAAACAAATACATTGAATATTTGGTGCATTTGTGAAGCCTTGGCAGTTCACCTTTTATGTAAGACGCACACGAAACAACATACACACCCTCGAGTGTAACCTATAGCAGCACATCTAAGAAACAGGTTCATATGCTACACATGAACACAGAAGAACAGAACATGTGCCATGAACAATCTCAGTAAGCAAAGGCTAATTAATATTTAATACACAAGACCCCAATAGAAATTGGGTTGTTCTTTTCTTCACTAATCTGTCGCCCCTAATATGAACAGTCTTGTCTTTTGTGTACTATCACTATCATCCTTGAACAAAACCATTTCTTACACAACTGATAGTTGAAGGAAGAAATTAAAAAAAAAAAGGGAGCCCAAAAGAAGAAAAAAAAGGCCAAAACTACAAAACAAAACAAAAAAGCAAGCTCTTGCTTGCTGCTATTGCTGCTCTGCATCGTCAGTAGACGCTGCCTCTGCTGATCATTTCGTTGTAGTGCTTGAGCGACTCCTGCCGCTGCAGCCGCATCTCCATGTTGAACTTGTTGATGAACGCCTCCACCCTCCGGTTCAGCTCGTCCTGCCCCAGCGACGGCTCCCGCCGCACTTTCTTCCCTCCTCCTCCTCCTCCGGCGGCCTCGTTGAACGTCTCCGCCTTCCGCATCGCCGTCGCCGGCGGTGGCGCGTCCTCGCCACCTCCGCTGCCGGACTGGCGGCGGCCGGGCCGGGTCTCCCAGGTGTCCGACTTCTTGAGATGCCGCGCCAGCGGCGGCGCCCGCCCCTCCGTGATGGCCTTCCACGTGCTCTCCAGCGTCTGCTCCTTCCGCGGCCGCGACACCCCCAGCGCCCTGCTGCTCCCTGCAAAACCCAATCCCGCGAGCTCAATCAATGGCGAATTGGCGAAAGAACCGAGACGGGATTAGAGGAGAATTCCTGATTTGTTGTTTACCTTCTGGGCTCGCCTTGACCGGCTTCCGGCCGAATCGAGTGGACACCAGTGGCTTCTCCCTCGAGTTCGTCAGGTCCGCGAAGGGGGACAACGCCTCATGCTCTGCCTCCGCCTCGGCGGTGCTCCTCCGCCGTGGCGTCCATGCCGACCTCGAGATCGTGAAGTTCTCCTCCGCTTCCTCCGCCTCCGGCGCCGTCTTCACCACCTCCGGCACCGTCACCTCCACGGGAATGGGCTCGGGAGCCATCGCCTCCGGCACCGGCACAACGGGCACCTCCATCGGCATCGTCACCGCCGGCGCGGGCACCGCCACCACCGGGACTGGAACCGGAACCGGAGCCGGCCGCACCAACGACGCGTCGGCGGAGGCGGCCTGCGGGCGGTTAGGCTGGAACCGCGACGACGCCGCGATGGACAGGATGATGGCGTTGATGACGAGGTACAGGTACGGCGGCGTCAGCCACGTGGCCGCCGCCGCCTGCGCCCGCGGCAGCTCGTCCGCCACGAACCCCGCCGCAGCCGGCGCCGCCATCCTCACCCCGAACGCCACCAGCACCGCCGCCGCCGCCGCCGTCGCCGCCTTCACCGTCCGCGCGTACCCCATCCCTCAACCCCACCACCGCCGTCGCCGCCGCCTCCTTCTTTACGTCTTCGCGCGGCGAAAGCGGAAACGGCAATCGGAAGCGGAAGCGAAGGCGAAGCAGAGCAAAGCGATATGCGTGCGAGTCACGAGGTGGGGTGCAGCGCAGCGGCCAACTTATAGCGGGCACGGCTCGCTCGGGGAGACGCGTGAGCCGTCGGATCCGGGCGCTTGGACGGTGGGAGATCCGTGTGGCTTAGCGTGCACCGCTTTCTTCTTCCGCACCGGAACGGTCTAGATAGAGCCAGCCTGTGCGGTGCGGTGCGGTCCGTGTGAGTGACCGCGCGGTGTTTGGCCGGTGGTGGCGACATGTGGACGTCACACACACGTCGTAATCACCGCGCCCCCCGACTTAATCCCCTAATTAGCAGGGGCTAATGCACTAAAAAATTGTAAAAATGTAATGCGGCCGCTTCGAGATGCCACGTGAGATGATCGGACGGCCAGGATTGGAAGGCTGTGGGGGAGTACGGGCCACGTGGGGGAGTTTTACATGTGTGTGTGAGAAATGATGGGAGAGGAGGGGGGGGGCATCATGCGGCGTCGCAAAGCTCAAACGGTCAAAAAAAGAACCGTTGGATGCGAACCGCGCGGCGACGGTGGGCCCCCACGTCCTCCTGCCACGTAGGCCGGCCTCGGGACGCCGCCGCTCCGGCTTTTGTCTGGTGCTGAGCTGGACCGCTCCGGGGCGCCACGTCAGCTGACATCATCACCGTTGGGTTAGCTCGTCTCCCGCGCCGCGACCCGAACAAACAAGAACGAAACGACACACACGGAAAAAAAAAAGAAAGAAGAAACGGCAACACGGTCACGTATCGATACGCATTTTTCCCCCTCTCTTTCACATCGCGACGTGTACGGGAACGAGACCGAGAGACGAGCATGCATGTGAAGGGCACGCACAGCAGGGTGCAGGCCTGCAGGGTGCAGCGTGCACGTGTACACGACCACGTCCCGCAGCTGGTACGGCCGCACGTCGACACACGCCGCCACACGTAATGCGGCTCCGGCGACGGCATACGGCAAATCGACTTGTAGTACTATGTGCTGCCGATAGTAGTATTATATATCTGCTGGTGTGCACACTGCGCTTTGGCCTAATTACACGGCAGTTTTGTTGAACTGGTCGTGTGCCCTGGCCGGTCAAGAATTAGGTGAGGGATATCTGATTAGTCTCTGTGTTTTTCAGTAGCCTGTAGCTTTGGCCTGCCTGCCTGTTCATCGGCAACCACACAACACGCGTAGCAAATGTTCGTGTGCTCGCAGTCGCATGGTCCCTGGTCGTCATATAGCTAGGGAGATCGATCGTGAGCACACACTAATTCGTAGTGTAGTAGGCAGCATTATAGCACGCAACTGCACGTCTCTCTAGTAGCTTCTATACATGCACAGTTGCACACCACACAAACAAAAGCGGTTTCATGGATGCATATTGCCGGCCACTACCACTAATCTCGGCATCATTAGTTACATGACTCATAATTAATTCCTAGCTTGGTGGTTATTGGATATCGGTTAAGTAGGTGGCGATGGGCGACGGATCACTGCATATCTCGATCGAGGTTAATATGGGCGATTCGACGACGGGTGCACGTAGCAGCACAGGTGTTGAGCGTTTTGACTGACGTGCGGTGGACGGCACGCGCGCGCGGTGATTTTCATACGAGGGTGTGTAGTGCTCCTACGTACTACCGGAGTACTCCGTAATTGTTAATTTCCACCGTGCGCGCGTGTCCATGTACGACGCACTACGTGGCCCGATCGGTCACGTTCTACCTACGTCGCGCAATCGTGTCTCCGTCTTAGGCAAACATCTCAGCCGGTGATCGACGAACTGTCCCCGAAATATGGTAAACAACTACTCCCTGCATACGACGTTGCCTGTAACCATCCCTTCTTTTATCAAGGCAGTCAGTACTCAGTACACAACCTCAGTACATAAGTATTTTTTTACTGTAGCTTAATTGAACATAGTGTGTTAATCCCTCGTTAACGAGCTATCTATCCACGAGACGACTCTGTCCCAGATGTATATATAAAATATATAATATATTACTTTCTCCGTCCCATAATATAAATGATTTTTACTTTTTGTTTGCACTGTTCAACCATTCGTCTTATTCAAAAAATTTGAAATTATTATTTATTTTATTTGTAACTTACTTTATTATCAAAAAGTATCTTAAGCATAACTTTTTTGTTTTTTTATATCTACACAATTTTTTTTAAATAAGACGAGTGGTTAAACAGTACAAGTAAAAAATTTAAATACATTATATTATGGAACAAAGAGAGTAGTTTCTAATCAGGGTAAGCTAATCTTAGCTGCTACCTAGCCAGCGGCCGGCCCGTGTACATGTTGGACCCGGCGGATCCCGGTGACAGCGACGGTTCATCCAAAGCTGCCAACCCCGAGCCCGCGAGGCGCGCGGCTGCGACGTCGTACGGCGGCCTCGCGAGCCGGCGAAACGTCGCCGCGGCATATCATGGCGCGCCACCACCACGCGTTGCTTCGCGAGACGTTTCCTTCCCGTACGCAAACTCCCGTGTCTCCCAAGGCGTGGGCGTGCATGTGGTGCAACACGGCCGCACGAACGATTTGGAGATCCAGAGTACAAGACCGTTTCGGCCGAGCGAGCGCGCGCGCTCCGCCTCGCAAATGAGCCTAACTTTTATTTTTTTCAACCAGACCGAACTTTTGTAAGTATACTTCCAACTCTTCATGTCCTCTCGACGAATATTATTGGCTTAGCTATAGGCTCTAGCTTGCCTACTTGTCGCAACCTCGGTGGTGTACCAAAGGAGAGGTTCAAAGGTTCAAGTACTAGCAGTATGTACTGATCCGGCCATCTGGTCTAAAATGATCAACTTTTGCTTTTAAATCTACATATAGACTATGCTCAGATTCAAAATCAGTAGTTGATTAAATAGGTGGCATAAATGACCGGAGCATGTATATGTACGTTGTTACGAGCATCAATCGTCCATCAACCATATAAATATCTGAGCATGTATGTATTAGAGGGTATGACATGTGTGTCTAGTGATATGTTTGAATGTGTGTCTTCCGTGTGATAAAATTTGTGTATTTTTATTATGATTTTAGTGAGGTAGGGATTTATTGATTTCTGTTTCTTTATTTAAGTATGTACGAAGTATTACGAGGCATACTCGCATATGCAAGAATATAATGTGGTGTACGTGTGTGTGGTGATTATGTGCATATGCGGTTACATGATTAAAAAAATCCCCTGAAATTCACTAGCCAAAAGCCGTACACCCAGCTCGATCGTACGGCCTCTAAAAATTGCTGCGAGAGGGGGCGGCAGATCAGATCCTGCCGCCCGGCTAGGAGCAAGTACGTCGGCCGGTTGGCACTTGGCAGGAGGGCCTTTTTTGGAGGCGACGTGTAGACACGCTGTTGGTGCAGGTTGGTATCCTTGTTCACCGCCATTTGTAGAAAATTTCGAGGAGCGTGCAGCTGTATGCGCTGTGCAGTGTGCGCCACCACACACGCGAGAATCTATCGATCTCCCGATTTCACGCGGCCTTACCTACTATACTCATCTGCACCTTGTCACTTCTGCCATGCATGTGTGCGTCCAGTAGTACGAGTATCAGCAACCGGCCATGGGGGACAAATTCAACTAACCATGTGAAGGTGATCGAGATTAAAGTGCAACTAATAGATTGTTGGATGTATCACGATGCAGATTAAGATATACTAAGATTCAGGGGCTATTCAAATCACAGTCAAAATAAACATTACCAAATTTCAGAAAAAAAAACATTACCAAATTTCAGCACCGCAAAAAATTTGATAAGTTAGCAATACTACCAAGTTTTGGTAGGATTCCTTATATATTTACCAAAGTCTGGTAAAAAAATTTAAATGTATGCACATCTTTAACAACTTAAAAAAAGTATAGTTTGAAATAACATTAATATGAACAATCTCTTATTTTTGTGTGGATAGGACACGAGAATCAGTTAGTTAAGTGAATAGAGCAAAACTGCAAGGTCAATATGAGTAGAGAGTCAGATTAATTATCAGTGATGCCGAGAAGATCTATCTTACGTATGAATTAGGTGGTGTTCTTTTCTCCTGAAAATGAAGATGAAAATTAAGTTTTTTACACAAAACGAGGTGGTATTAACGTATGATTAATTGAGTTTTAATTATTACAAATTTGAAAAAAATATGATATTTTAGAGCAACTTTCATATAGAAAGTTTTCGTATGAAATACACCGTTTAGCAATTTGAAAAACGTGACACGAAAATCTGATTCATCCAACTCTTGTTGGAGAAAAGAACGGGCCTAACCTCACTAGTACTCACGCATTTGATGCAACGGGATCATCGGTGCACACTGCACGTAGCTGAAGGCCATAGGAGAGAGGCGACGGTGGAGACAAGATAAAAAGAAGGATAGCAACACATGGAGTCAGGGTCGTCCCTGCAACGGACGCCATATATACACATCTGTCATGGATATATTCGTGCTGCAGGTCAAAGCTAAATTAATGCCAGGTGCCGTTCATGTATGTTAATGTTATCCTTCTCTATCTGCTTCACATGCATGCAAAGATATATCCTGCACATTGACCATGGAAAAAGGGTACATACCAATTGATGTTACGTAAGTAATTAATCCTGATCAATCTTTTTATCCAATGCTTAATTAGATCCTTAATCTCACTGATAATTTCGTCGCCCTCGTACAGTCGTAATGTCCCCTCTGAGGCCCTGACTTCCTGGCAGCCTGGCCTCGCCTCGATCGCCGGCCGGCGAGCCAAACGCTGCCCGACACCTGCATATTCTGAAGCTTCCGGCCGGAGGCGCCGGCCAGCCCAACGACCAACCCAGGTAAGTTTCTCGCGTCGTCGACGTCGCAAACGAAATTTCCACTCATCCACAGCTGCAAACGTAGCGCCGACGATCGATCGATACATCTCCCATCCATCGCCAGAGTGATTGCATCGACAGTTCAATCCAATAATATGGGCATATTTGACACGGTTCTAGTTTTAGTTTTATCTCTCTTCTAGAGCCAGAATCCAACTAATTAACGGCTTCAGCTTAAAAAAAAGAGTGAAGTTAGCTAAAATATTCTTACGAAATCTCCACCCAGAAAAGGAACGAGGTTGGCTAAAATGTTTCTATAAAATAAACTAAACATGTTGAGTTGGTTTTAGATTGTTTTACAGTTCCACTCAAAACCTAACTACTGAAGTTAAATTTAGAAGTTAGAATCGTACCGAACAAGCCCTGAGCACGATCAGTTAGCTGTTACTAGTAGAAGAATACGTGTTTGGTCAACAACGCTTCGACACACAGTAGACCGTGTCACCGTGCTAGCTGGGAGACATGTACATGCATATATACGACGAGATTTTAGACAGCGAGATCAATATACGGACAGTGAAACGAGGTCTCGTTGCTAGCTCTCCGTGTTTGTTGGCTTGCACCGACTGTGCGCGTGTTGCAATCGGGCGCACTGCCGCACATATATGACCAGTAGTGCATATATATACATACGTATAACGTATATATATACGCTGTTCGCGAAACCGCGTTTCTGTTTCAATGTGCGTCTGTGTACTGTACAGGGGTGGTATGTACAGGAAAAGAACCATCGTGTCAACACGCGCAAGGTTGCACTGGGTGGAGGATGTGGGGATACGTACAGTATGCGTGTACTCGAGCAATTAGTGAGAAGAGAATTAATGGGCACATATATATGGGTCGGTGACAAGGACCGGTCCGGATTTGGATAAGGTGAGTGCGGTTTAGTGGCGGCACCTCGGACCATCAAATCCATACCAACAGTTTCATGCTTGATGCTTAACACACAAAGAACATTATCTAAGGATAGGAAGCAACGACGAACTGAAAAAGAATATAGTTACTTTCCCCATATTTATAACCCAGTATTTTTCTGGCAAAATTTCTCATCTTTTGTTCTATAAACTTGCAGTCTCTTCTATGACTACATCGGATAGAAGAGACTGCAAGTTTAGCAGTTGGAACCATTTTTCATCATTGGATCAAAGCAATCAACGGCCGAAACAAATGCTACAGTTGTTTTAAACAGTAATTGCTACAGTACCTGCTACAGTCATGTATGAACAGTATCAAGGAAAGATCTAGGACGTTGATTTATAATCCAATGGTGTACTTAGGACTGCTTAAGTTGCAGTGGCTATAGCCACTGCATATGATCCCAATCCCGTACGTATAGTACCTGAATTAGTTAGATAATTTTCTAAAATTCTGCGTATGTTTGTTCTCTCTCTCTCTCTCTTTTAGAACCGGTTCACCGCCACTTGTAGAAAACTTGGGGGCACCGTGCCGGCTGCTCTGTTTTGGAAACTGGAAAAAACAGAGACAGGAGAATCCGAGAATCCATCTCCAGATTTCACGCGACCTACACTACCTACCCAGCTATCCTGCCCATGAATAGTTTTGTCACTTCCGGGATTATGAAATGGCCGGCTCGCTAGGGACAAAACGCCCATGTGAAAGGTTAGAAACTGAGCAGATCAGCAGAATCGTGAGATGGAGCAAGCAGCTGCATGCTGATCAGAAATTCAGCATAGTATAAACAGTACATCACTCCGTTCCAGATTCATTTTAGAAAACACGTATGAATGTTTATATTAATTTTGGAATGGGTTAGTAAATAGTACTACTACTACTATATTGCAAGAACAATTAGTTAAGCTAGCTAGGATGATACGACGATCGATGATGACGACGGTGGAAAACAGTGGAGGATCCAATCACAATCACGCATCATATATATCGTACATTTTGATTGATTGATTTATTTTTTTTTAGAAAAAATGATAGCCGTATTAGGATTTGTCTGGCCTCAAGAAAATTTGGGCTTCGTCACTAGTGGAAACAAGCAAGCTTTGGCAAGTATAGCTAGATACTATATGTACGTACACGTTTCGTCGATCTGTATACGTGTACGTACGTGTGTGTATATCGTTCGGTATTTGTAGCTGCTGCCCGTTTTAATTATCGGCTTGCAACTTTTGACGTAAGAATTCCGATCGATCCGCTTGCACATGGATAGGCATAGCCTTCATTCCTAGCTATATATAGCTTGCTAGGCAACAATAATTTTAGAATGCTGATCACATCGATCGATCTCGAGATATATATATATATATATATATATATATATATATATATATATATATATATATATATATATATATATATATACACACACACACACACACACACACACATATACACACAGAGTAGCTTTGCACGTACGTATATGACGTGCATGCGGCTAAGCTCGCTCACACGTGTACACGTTATACAATGGTGTGATCATGCAGATAAAGGTAGTCCAGATTCATTAACCCCTCCGTGATGGCTTTGTAGATATGGTAAAGGAGGTCTGGTCTAGTGTACATGAGGGTAATACTCATATGGAGCGATGGCAGGCGAAGATTCGCCAATTAAGACAGCATTTTGAGAGGATGGGCTAAACATACACGTGGTATGTATAAAAAAGAAAAAAAAAGGGAGATTTTGGATAGGTTGGATTTGTTGGATAAAAAGTCTAAATCTGTTCTTCTAACTCAGGAGGAAATTGATTTTAGATGGTTTTGTAGGAATAGATTATCTACTCCTACGAGAGAAGAAGAAATTAAGTGGTATCAAAGGGCTAAAACTAAGGATATTTTGGAGGGTGATTCAAATACAAAGTATTTTTATTTGGTTGCTAACGGCAAACATACAAAAACCAGAATTTTTCAACTTCAAGATGGGGATCAATTGATAAATGGTGATGCAAATCTAAAATCGCATATTACCACTTATTATAAAGGCCTCTTTGGTCCTCCTGATGATTCTGATCTCCAGTTTGATGAAAATAAATTTGTGGACATCCCACAAGTATCTCAATTAGAGAATGAAGTTTTAATACAAGAATTCACTGAAAAGGAAATTAAAGAGGCTATTTTCTAAATGGAACATAATAAAGCTCCGGCTCCTAATGGATTTCCTGCTGAGTTTTATCAGGTCTTTTGGGATGTCATTAAGGATGATATGTTGGATCTTTTCAGAGATTTTCATAATGGTACTTTGCCTTTATTCTCCCTTAACTTTGGTACTATTATTCTTTTGCCTAAGTGTGCTGAGGCCATGAAAATTCAACAATATAGGCCTATCTGCTTACTTAATG